ATCAATCCCAGGTGCTACTCGTTTAGCATTTGTTTGACCTTCAGGTCTTCAGGTCTGGCTCACAGCAGGAGCATCCGCCCCTCCCACAGTTGTAAGGCATCTCCTCTTCTGTGCTGTCTCCTTTGAGGGCCTGGCCCTGTCTGACTGCCTATAATATTTCTATCTAACTCGGCAGCCTACAACAGTAGCAAGATCTTACAGGAATGAGAGAGGGAAGGATCTGTTTGTAGAATTGCCTGATGTGTTTGTCCGGCTTGGTAGCTATGAGATCTGTGGTCTGTGGGGCGGTAGCAGGCTGGAGAGCCCTTGGAGGTCTGCGGCCCAGCCTCGGTCTTTGCTCACGGCCCCCTCGGCTGATTGGGTGAAACCCACCCACGTGACTTTGATTCAGCGTCTGTTGATTTAAATGTTAATCATATCTAAAAACATCTTCACAGCTGTAGCTACACTGGTGCCCCAGCCAAGCTGACACAGAATTAACTATTGCAAGTTAACTAATAAACCCTGCACGGCTGAAGCAGGAGAATGACACCCAAAAGGAGGAGTGAGAACAGAGATTTAGGTGCAGGTGACTGCCCTCTGCAGGGTGGGACCAGGCCAGACAGGAGGCCACTGCACCAACAGGGCTTGGAGCTGAGGGTTTGAAGCATCAGGGTCTGGGGTAGGTTAAGGAGTTGATCTGAGGTTTGGCTCCCAAGGACAAGAGGTTGGGCGCGCCCCTCTAGGGCAGTGGAGCTTCTGACCCTTTCTGACCCTCAGGAGCTGTCACAGCAGCCAGAGCCTGGGGGGCCAGATCTGTACGGGCAGTGCCTGGAACCTAATCCGTGCAGGCCGGCTTACCTGCTTACTGTTTTCCATGGTGCTGAGAGCTGGGCTTCCTGCTCCTGGCTTCCTCCACCCAGAAGGTGGAGCCAGCCCCAAGCGGGCTCCAGTGCAGGCTGTCCCTTCTTTCCCAGCCAGCGCCTTGCTTGCCTCTTGCTGCTAATCTAGCCCAGAAGGCATGCGGGGGATCCTGCCTCGTTTTTCCAGCTTCACTTTAGCTGCCTCCTGCCTGACACAGTAGTTGACATTGATGCTGAGTCAGAACTACCGGGCTCAGCTTGTTTGGCTCCCAAAAGCCTCAGAGAAGCAGGAAAGCCCCTTTCATGGGTGCTGCCTGGGGCTCAGTGCCAGTGCTTCCTGGTGAGAAACAGGGTTTCCGGCCTCTCCTTCCTCGGCCGGGCTCTGCTCCGGGCTGAGTGAGCCAAAGGGGCCCGGCCCCTGGGACCTCTGGCCTGGGCAGAGTCCCGGCTGTCAGGGTGCGCCCATCCGGGCAGAGCACAGAGCCATGCACTGTGCTGCAGAGGCGAAGGAGGACCCACCGACAGCTCACGGGTCTCCCCAGGCAGGCAGCGGGGAGAGGATCTCAGGACCTCCGTGGAGACCAGAAGTGAGGCTCATGGAGGAGGGCCCTGTTGCAGAGGCAGCTCTGAATTTGAGGACCACAGCAGGGAGGATGGTCACCTGCCCGCACCCTTGGAATTGTGGAGTCGCTGAGACTCCAGGGCCGGGTGTGGACTGGAGTGTGTGCGCAGCTCCTGGGGTTCCGTAGCAAGAAGCAAAGGCATTTTCACTGGTGGTCCTGGAGACAGCCCCTGCTGTGACTGGAGCCAGAGGTCCTGGGAGGCACTTCCTGGCTGATTCCAGCCTCTGCTGTGGTTGGCGTCCTCTGCCTGTCTCGTGGCTGTGTTATACTGGCATCTGCCTCCTTCCCGCCATGGCCCTAGTCCCTGTGTCTCTGTGTGGCCTTTCTGTAAGGACAGTGGCCATCGTAGGGGTCACCTCAACTTGGTCCCCTGTCAGAGGCCCTCTTTCCTCCATGGAGCTGAGTTAGGCCTGCCATGCCTCCCCGGGGGCACCGTGCAGCCTGCCTCAGCCCACTGAGGCGCTGTTTTGTTTCCAGCTATGTGAAAGGCCTCTATTCTTTTGGATTGATGGAAACCCACTTCTACGATCAGGCCGCAAAGCTTGCCAAAGAGGTAAGTGGTCCCTTCTCCAGACCTTGCAGAGTGGCCATCGCAAGGGGCAGAGGACATAGAGCCACCCCTAGGTGTGAGGCAGCCCCAGCCCCCACCAGGGAGCGTCCTTGGAGATTTGGGGGGCTCTATCAGTGTGAGCAGTCACCACCTGCACACTGCATACTGTACCCAGGAGGCTGTGGGTTGGGCGGCTGAGCCCTGGCTTTGCAAATGTTCTGGGTGAGCACTCAGCTACCCTAAGCCTCGGTTTGCACATCTGTGAAGCAGGCATCTATACCTTCCACGTGCTGGGCTGGCGCCAGGCCAGTGTACCCCAGGTGTCCAGGGGTGGGTGCTGGCGTCGGGGCGCAGTTCCCATGCCTGCTCACACCTTCGCCCCCCAGCTGGGCAGTCTGGCTGATGCCTGCATCTCCACCCTCTCCCGGGCCTGCAGGCGCTCGCCATCGAGCCCACGGATGCGTGGTCTGTGCACACCTTGGCCCACGTGCATGAGATGAGGGCAGAGGTCAAGGCCGGCATTGAATTCATGCAGCGCTCAGAGGACCACTGGAAGGTACGGGCCAGCCTGGACAGCACGGACAGGTGGTGCTAAGAGAGGCCTTGGCTGGAGGCCTTGGGCTGCAGCAGGAATGGATCAAGTGGGCAGGAAATGAGCCCTGTCACTGGCCTGTGGGCTGTGTGTGGGGCTGTGAAGTGGGCTTCGAGCACCGGGTGCAGCCAGGTCAGGCGTTAGGAGGGGTGGCATGGTGGCATCTGTGGGACCAACATGTGGGAGAGATGTACCAGGCCCTCTTGACCTCCAGGGCCCTGCCAGGGTTTTCTGTGGCACAGCCATTCAGTGGTCACTCTGGTGCCCAACTTGAACCTCTTGCTTGATGGTGGCCTTTCCTCTTCCATGTGTGTCACTTGTTCCCAGCTATGACTCTGGCACACAGCCTGCCTACCTGGCCAGGTGCCCGGGCTGCCCTGCCCTTCCGCGTGCCAGGGCAGTCTCTCCTCACTGATCAGGGTGCTGAGTCTCTCCTAGGGCCTGGCACCCTTTAGCAGATAGATACTCGGTGATGGCAGTGGCCAGGAGCCAGGAGGACGTGGCAGTCACCGCTGGCCCTCTGTGCAGCTCTGGCCCTGGTGTTCCCACGGGGTTTGGTTTCTGACAAGGCAGAGTCCTGGCCTCACACCAGCAGGGTGGGGTGGCTAAGAACTGGGATCCCATGAGGGTCACGTGGTTGTTTTCTGGAGCCTCACACTGGGGAAGCTGGAAAGGCCTGGGGACAGCCTGAGCCAGGCCCTGGGGCATCAGGAGCAAAGGCCAGGGTGGCCAGCACCCTGGGGGTCCCCAGTGGGGACTGACAGTTCTGGAGGCCTTGTGGGACACTGCGGCTGGAGCACTGGTGTGACGCCCTCCCCAGGTCCCATCACACTCCCTCCAGGGCAGCATGGTTCTGCTCCACCCCGGGGCAAGAACTTGATCTGTCCGTGCCTCCGTTTCTTCTGTACTCTGTGAGCCTTGGCCCCAAATGTGTGCCGTTGGTGCTGGTTCCAGCATAGCCAAGCCTGGGATTATCACAGATGGGGCCGCCGGCACCTGTCTCAGTCCTTCTCTCATCCCTGGGATGGCAGAAGCGGCCTGGCACATGGGCCGGGTGGAGCTGAGCTGCTCACGGCAGAGTGACTAGGAAGCGGGGGTGGGGGGAGGCAGCAGGGACACCCGGCCTTTTAGGTCACCCCCAGTGGCCGGCCCTAACCAGACCCCACCTCCAGGAGTGGCTGTGTCTATCCTTTGATTCAACCACAGTTCACAAGCCCTGCGTATGAGCACAGAGGCTCTTGGGGGACCTTGAGATGCAAACCATGGCATCCTTCGTGTGTGTCTGTCCCCGGTCGGCCCGGCAGTGGGTGACATGGCTTAGGCCCCTTTTCCTCCCCCTGCACCTGCGTCATGCATTGGCGGCTGGACTTAGAGTTCAGCTGAGTGCAGTCCGCACCACACGCCTCCACCCCACCCTGGGGGCCCCGGCAGGGTCCACTGTAAAGACTAAGAGCCACACACTTCCCGTGCCTTGGCCTCCTGGGTTAGTGCGGGCACAGTCGTGGCTGCCCCCGTGTGGAGGGTGATGTGGTGATGTGGAGATGCCTGGACAGACAAATGCCTGACAGACAAATGCCTGGACAGACAGGTGCCCAGACAGACAGGTGCCTGGACAGTAAGACAGGTGCCTGGACAGACAGACAAGGGCCCAGACAGACTGACAGGACCTGACAGACAGGTGCCGGCTTCCTGCTTTGGCACAGACCCGAGTTGGCTGGTCTGCGCAGGCTGTCCAGTCTTTGTCTAACTCCCTTGATCTTTCCGCAGGACTCTGACATGCTTGCTTGCCACAATTACTGGCACTGGGCTCTGTACTTGATTGAGAAGGTAAGAGGGCAACCTCACCTCACAGGGCCACCGCAGCACAGAGTATTTGAGTGTCTGCCCTGCTCTGCAGTAACTGTCCAGACGTGTCACACTGTGCACGAGTGGGGTTGAAAACAATGATACATGTTTACTTATTTAATTTTGGGGGGTTACCAGGATTCAGACTCACAACCTCACACTTGCCAGGAAGGCACTGTGATGCTGAGCTGTATTCCAGGCTCTTGGGATGTTTAAATGGAAAAAAAAAAAAAAAAATTACAGGTAGAGACACATCGCATGAGCCTTGGGCACGCTCTTCCCTTCCCCTTTGCCTCTTCCCGAAGGAGCTCCAGAGTCCTCTCCCCTGAGTGTCTTAGGGGTGTGATCAAAACCACAGTGTGGGGGCCCAGGAGATGGCTCAGTGGAATAAGCGCTTCCCTGGCAAGCACAAGGACCTGGTTCTGCAAAAAAAAAAAAAAAAAAAAAAAACCAAAAAACAATGTGTGCCGCTGCGGGTGCCACCCAGCGGAAAGGCAGGCTCGGAGGGACAGGATGCTGCGTCCTCTCCTCCTGATTCACCAGATCTGGAACCGCGATTTCCCGCTCCTCCCCAAAATCCAGATGACCACAAAAGGTCAAGGTCTGGGATGGGGTCAGCACGCGGAGGCGGCCGGACACTCAGGAAAGAGGACATAGAGCGTGCTTGAGAGAGGCACAAGGAAGGACGGGGCAGGCGGGTCCCTTGCAAGGGGAGGATTTCAATGGGGATTCATGGCTGTGGGTGTAATGCGGCGAAAAAGGAAATGTTAATGTAAGGACACTCCATATGTTCTGATCACGCCTTGTAGGCACCTCCCTGCTGCTGGGGTGCACGGCCCCCGCCCACAGTCCGGACCTGAGGGAGTCAAGAGGTCTCCCAGGAGGAGCAGGGGGCGGGCGGCTTCTCGGCCTTTGTGATTTCCTCCGGCACCTCATTTATCTGGGTGCTTCTTGGCAGCACTCCTGAGGAGGACAGGAGGGTCCCCGAGTGTCCAGTGGGGAAAAGGCACGCAGATGAGAGTCCCGCCCAGACATAAGATGTGGGGACACGCGGTCTGGGAGGAGGCAGAGAGCCAGCAGCACGTAGCAGGGAATCTGTGTTCCTGCGGACCGCACAGAGATGCTCACGCAGGCTGTCTTACCCCGAACGCCTGGAAACAGGAGTATTGCAGATTTAGGCGCTTTGCGGATTTGGGAAGCTCCGCCTACACATAGCAAGACTCCTGAGGGTGGGACCCTTCTTTGTCACTTTCTCTGTGCTAGGAGAAAATACGGGGCACCAGCAACTTAAAGGAGGCCGAGTTTATTTTTGGCTCATGTTCTGGTCCCAGGTTGGCTGGCACCAAAGGAGAAACGGCATGGCGGAGGGCCGTGGCAGAGGAGAACCGCTCAGGGCATGGTGCACAGAAAGCAGAGAGGGAGGGCGGAGCCTCGAGGGAGGGCCCGCCTCCTCCGACCAGGCTCCGCCTTTTCTGACCAGGCCCCGCCTCCTCCGGCCAGGCCCCGCCTCCTCCGGCCAGGCCCCGCCTTTTCTGAGCAGGCCCCGCCTCCTAACTGCACATTTACCTATTAACTCATTTGTGGACTGACCCAGTGATGAGTAGCGCACACTTGTGATCCAGTTACTTCCCCAAAGCCCTGCCAATGAGTGCCTGAGGCTTTGGGGGGCATCCAGGTATGAATCCTAACAGGCTCTAAATTGAAACAAAATTTGTCGGTGTTTCCTATGTATCTTACACACATAGCCTGAAGCTAACATTGTACGTTATTATTAATGTACCTGTGTTTGGGCCTGCCCAACACTTGAGGTCAGGTGTGGGCTTTGCCACTTGTGGCATCATGCTGGTGTTCACGAGTCCAGATTTGTGGCCAGGGCCTGTAATCCTAGCATTCTGGGAGTCAGAGGCAGGAGGATAGGAAGTTCAGATCTAGCTCTGGTAATTCAGCAACTTTGAGACTCTGGCTTAAAAGTTAAAAATAAAAAGGATAGAGATATAGTTCAGGGTCAAGGCCCTGGGTTCGATCTCCAGTACCACAAGAGAAAAGAAGAGTTCTCGTGCTTTGGGTTAGGACGGCTCACCCTGAACTACTCCTGGCAGGGGACCCTGTGCTGTCACAGAAACCATGGCCTCAGCAGCAGCGTGGGTCCTGTTGCCTTTTCTGTGCTGTGCGCAGTGGCGGCTGCCACCCCACCCCCGCCATGCCTTCCCTGCGAGCGGAGCCCTGACCCACTCCACGAGGAGGTGGTGGCCACATATGCGGGGTGCTGGCTGTGGGTAACAGCATCTCGGCGTGGTGCTGAACTTTCTCCGGTGCTAACCCTGGCTTCTTTACGTTGCCAGGGTGAATACGAGGCGGCACTGACCATCTACGATAAACACGTAAGTGCCATAGGCTCCGTCAGGTTAGTGCTGCAGATGAGGAATCTCTGAGCCCCTTGGGAGTGTTCCTGCCAGGAAAAATACCAGAGCGAGGGCCCAATTCTTGCGTAAGACCTTGCTGTGGTTCTTGCCAAGAGCTGTGTTCCGCTGCCTCTTTAACCCCGAGGTGTCCGCAAATGAAGGTCCAAGGTGACCACTCTGACGCATCCTCTGGATCACACCTGCCTTGCTGTGCC